TTTTTTGGATACATTGGTAATATCATCTTTGTCATTTCAGTAAAATATATTTATGGCAAACTGCTAATGCGCTTATTATATTGCGTTATATCTGTAAATTTCTGACGCAACGAATGAATGAGGCCGAATTTGTCAAAGTTTTTGCAAATTCTGCTTCATTACCATCCTCGTCCGCTAGTTCGTCTGATGATGAACGTAAGTCAATGTTCCTTCTAGCAGTTTCATCCTTATAGTGATCATTTAGCGGAAGCAGAAAACAACTCGGAGTCGGATGATATGTATTGCAATACAGCAGAAAAGCTTCTTGATACTTTGGTCGTCATTCTTGCAGATCTTCCTGTGAAGTGAGAATGCATCAGTATTTTTAAATACTAGGCTGTTTTTACTGCATAATAGGAAAGCTTAATGATGATGCTTTGTTATCTAGTCGTTTTATTTCTGAATGCCTTGGTGTGATTTGTCAGGCTAGCAGCATCTCAGATAGTGCGGGGAGTTTTAACTCAGCGACATCAACGTCATGATCAAGTCTAGTCTTTTTGGGTACATTTCCATGTGCACTTTTGTAGGCAAAGTATTTATTGAAAGCTATATAGGTCAAATTGTCTTCTTCTATTTCTGCTCTCGCATATAATGAAAGTTCTGGATTCCATCAGTTTTTAAGTTAGCACTTTGATAGACCATATGCGCACTTGTCGATTGGGCGTGAAATTTTTGTAAGGGCAGAAATGATTTGCACAAGTAGGACGCAATGGGAAGAATAGTTCAAATTGGATTCTCCTGTCGATTTGATTCATCCTAGTGAGAACACCATGGCTATCCACGTCGAAGCAGTCAAATGCGTAATTACAATGCTCAGTTCTCAATTGTACAATGATGCTGTAGTCAATACTTCGGTCGTATTTTCGTATTTCATCAGTGGTGCCTGGTAACTTTCGGATTCTTACTATGTTGTGGTACTTGTTTGTCCTTATCGCGTTAATGCTAATTCAGTAGCAAGCGAGCGGCTGTTTTGACGAAAACACTTCTAAGGAACTACTTGACTCACAATAGCGAATATCATCCATTGAAGAAAAGTGAGAGAGGAAGTATTGTGCTTGGAATAGCTTGTAAGTCTCAATGACCTCTTCTCTTGCTATACTTTACTTCGTTTTTTGCAGCCTCATTTTGGTCAATGGTGCAAGCTGCTACCGGCGGCGAAGACGATTCTGTGGAGATTCAAGAATATCCTGTAACTCTTGGTAGTTTGAGCATTCTTCTTCTCCTCAACTTAGCGTGTCATCATCCAGCTAAAGGATGTAATCCTTTCAAGGAAACGTTGGCGTTGTTTCAAAATTCTCAAGGTAATAGTTTTCTCTGGTTTTTTAAAAGTATGAATTGGCTGTCTTTTAGAGGTATCTAGTCTCACTAATGATAAAATCACATTTAAATTGGATTATAATGCACTCTACGAAAGGCTCTGTGCTAC